TTAAATACCTTTGAAGACTTGTATGATCGTAAATTATGGCACCAACTTACTCTAAAAATTGAAGAATTCTTTACAGAACCAACCTCTGGTCCTTATCAGATTCAACTATTTCAATATTTTATATCTGACTGGGAAAGCAAGATGAATAAACTTAAATTAGTGAGGTTGGGACTTTGTGTCGCGAAACATTTTAGCGGTAGGATTTATATAATTGATATGGACAATCACGAAAACTGGACGGTCTAAAATTTGCATTATGACTTAAAGATCTTATGGTAAATATCATTGTGTGAATCATATTAGATTATAATGAAGCCCTGGCCTTTCTAACGTCACTCGTTGAAAAAGTTGATACGCCTGAAACGCGTGATGCATATGTTCTTGCCGTGACAGAAACTGCTTATATAAAGCTTAGATTATTTGATCTTGAGGGCACGAAGGCTGCTATGGATGAATGTGAAAAAATTCTTGATACATTTGATTCCGTGGAAACTATAATTCACGCGAGTTTTTATCGTGTTTGTGCCGATTTTTACAAGGTGAAGAATTAGTTTATGTATAAATAATATGTAAGTTCAATGTGCTAAAGTTAGCTAACGTTGAATAATTCAGCTATTGCTTTTGATAAATTAGGCAAAAGCGGAATATGCACAGTATTACAAGAATGCGTTGCTTTATCTAGCTTGTATTCAACTTGAAGAATTGACATTAGAAGAAAAAGCTGAGAGGGCCTATGATTTGGCGATTAGTGCACTATTGGGCGATACCATTTATAATTTTGGTGAACTGGTAAATGACCATTTCTTAGATATTTTCTATTGTTAAATAATTTCAAAATCAACGTGTTAACATCTATTGAGTACAATAGTTAATGCATCCAATCTTGGATACGTTAACAAACACTCCTCTTGATTGGCTCAGGAATTTATTATTTGCGTTTAACGCAGGGGATATTGGCAAATTTGAAATGTTGGCTGTGAATTTTGCTCAACAGGTATACAAAGTGATTTGCATAATTAATACATATAATTTATACATATATTGATCAAATTATATAAATCCTTTAGCCTATATTACAAAACAACATGTCATTTTTACGTCAAAAAATCTGTCTAATGTCATTGATTGAAGCAGTATTCAAAAGAAGTTCGGATAATAGGACAATTCCTTTTGCAAATATTTCGGAAGAAACCCAATTGCCTATTGATGAGGTATGTTTTACAATTTTTTTATTTTTATTTTTTCTTTTAAAAAAAAAGAAACTCAACAAATATGAATCCTTTTATATTAAAGGTGGAATATCTAATAATGAAAGCTCTTTCGCTTAAATTGATTCGTGGGTCAATTGATCAAGTTGGTGAGGTAGTAGTTGTAACGTGGGTTCAGCCGCGTGTTTTAGATAAAGACCAAATTGATAATATGAGGCAAAGATTACAAGAATGGGATGAAAATGTAAAAAGGACTGCTATATTTGTAGAAAATGAAACGCCTGAATTATTTATTCAGTAAATTTTATCTAGCATTAGTAAGACTTTTAGAAAACTTTGGGTTATTTAAATATTTCGAAGTAAAGACCAGATCCGGATGACAATTTTGTCATCCGAATAAAGACGGATAGAAATTAAACTTATTAAAAATCCCAATACAGGAAAAAAAAATTTTTTATTTATTCGTAGGGAGTCTCATCTGGGTCTGATCTCTATTTCAAAAGTCACCGAATAATTAGATTTCTGTATTCAATCTAAGAAAATTATATATATACTTTTTTTTTTTGCGTGTGCGATAAGTTCTATGATAGTTAAAATATCTATTTTATTGGTTGATCAAACGGTTAAAATAGTCGATAACAATAAAGCTGCTGTCGATTTATAAGTTTTTAACTGATTATGCACACATTGTTTAAACTTATCTCGTACTACACAGAGGTGTATCTCATTGGTTAGAAGAGGTATTCTAGAGTTGTAAAGTTGTTCTCAAGCAGCACTCTCAATATGATTTGCTAGTGATTGAAATCATAGATACTGCTGTTATTCAAAAAAGGAAATTTGAACAATGAAAATGAATCGATTTCAAAATGATTCAACTCATTACATTCGAGGATTTTTTGTTAATATGTAAGTTTTGGTATTTGACTATAATATAATGTATAATTTTGTTAAAAAAACTTTTTTTTTCTACTAAGACAAACAAAAACTTTACTAAAACTTTTGAAAAAAATCGAGCGTAACTTTGTTCTCTAACATTTTAGAAACATTCTGTAAAAATTTTTAAGTAATTCCTTGCTTTTTTAATGAGTTGAATCATTTTGAAATCGATAATTTTAATAACATAATAGAAATTTATTTTTTTATTTTCTATTGAAAAGTACTATTTATACAAATTTTTTATGTTGCTTTTATAATAAAAGTTTGGACAAGTCAAAAATTTTTATAATTAAGGTCACCTAAAATTTTTCCAAATGGTTTTTTAGAGGCATAACTTTTCAGAATTATCGGATTTCTAAGTTTTAAATATAAAAACAATCCTACTTATATTTTTGAAATAAGTTAATTCTGAAACCCCTATGATATTTTATTCATAACAAAAATACCGTGAAATAAAGAAAAAAATTTATGTTAACTTCCACTCTACTATGTGCTCTTGCATGTATCATAACTTATGTGGGCTTTAGTCAATAAAATCGACTTAGTCGGTTAAGTCAGTCGATTTTTCGACTAAAGGAAATGATCAGGAAATTTCGAGAACTACTTAAACAAATACTGAGATATTACCCGGAAATATCCATTCGAGTACAATCTCTAATGCTAAAATCAAAAACTTATCGAATCGAATAGTTAATTATTAGGCTGATTTTTAGTCTGGTGTCCCAGAAATAACGAAATTTCACCAAGGTTAATCTGAATTAGACGATTAATACGATTAAACAGTTTAACGATTCAAGAAAGTTTAAAGCCAGGTTCGTTAGGGTTAGTTTTATTGATACAGTTGGTAGTTTTATTTATATACGTATAGATATCAAGAATAGAGCTTATGCAATATGTAGATCTATATGTAAACGAACCTGGCTTTAACGGACCCCGTTATATACATGCAAAATTTAGCAAGGAATTTTTCTAATTAGAACGCAAAAGGTGGTTTCTTAGTCAAAATTTAAAGCTGTAGGCGATTTTTTGATCTAATGATCCACATATGACAATTTGAAAATTTCCTTTTTTGGGCTTGTATCACTTGCAGAAATAAATATACGCGATTTCACATCACTGATCAGATGATCAGATCTTATGATTTAATTAGTTATATAAACAATAGGTTTCTGATATGTAAACAAACAGAACACTCTTGTTCTTGGGTCTGGCGTGACATCGTTACTTTGCCTGAGAACAGCCAGACCCGTCTTTTTTCTATCGTTCTTTTGACATTACTAATAAGAGCGATACGGAAGGTGTATTTTTGTTTTCTTGGGAATTTCTTTCTTCTTTTTTTCACCTTCCGAACTGAGCTAGGCTCTAATAATCAAAAAAAAAAAAAAAAAACAATGCTGGATGACGGTATTAGAGAAGAACTTGTCTATGATGATTTTTTTATGTCTGAGACAGGAAATTATAATGATTTTGCCTTTTCACCTTTTGGTGTACTAAAAGAAGCTTTACTACCGTGCCAAATCACTCGTCAAGCAAGGACACCAGATACAAAAATACCACTAGACGCAAAACATCACCAAGTGCGAAAATACTACTAGGTACAAAAATATCACTAGGTGCAAAAACACTATCAGGCGCAAAAACATCACAAGGCACAAAAACACCAGCAAGTGCTTCAAACAAGAACATTAAGCAAAAATATACCAACTATACGAAAAAAAAAAAACTTTACCAACTTTGTTAAATTTAATGTGTATTTTAAAAATTAATCTTTAACGGCGTTATTAATCTTTTTCCCTGATTGCGTTTTAGATTCACATAAATAACATGCGCGAAAAAGATTTTTTTTTTTTTTCTAATCCATCAACTAATGATTTGAACCGGTTGGGCTATAATCGGTTAACCGACCCGAATTGAATAAATTTCAGGTAACCGGTTGAGTAAATTCTTAATCGGTTGACCCGTACAACCGGTTGAGTATCGGTAATCGGTTGACAGGATGTAAATTACATCAAGGAGCAAAGGGTCCGAGAACTTCCGAAAAGAAAATGAATGAACATAAAAATTTGAGTAAATGCCTGAGAACTTCCGAAAGTAAAGTGTAAAGTAATCTTAATCGGTTGCAATCGGTCGACATTAAATATTTCGGTTCGGTTACCTGACTAAGGAATTTTTTCTCGGTTCAAATCACTACCATCAACAGAAGAAATTACTTCTAGAATCGCCGTAAAAATCAGTTACGCATCTGAATTTAAAATCAACATCGATATATTAAGTAACTTCAGGTTATAATATGACGGAAAGGATTGAAAAAACTTGGGTTTTTTTTTGATAAATTTGTAGATCAATTTAATAGAAATCACAGCAATCGTTAATAAATTTAAATAATTACTAGAATTTTTAATATGCTAAAATACAATTTTTTGTCTCATGAGAGATCTATATAAACATCTCGCGCAAGTCACGACTTGATACTGTATGTCTCTAGAAATGAATTAGAAAAAAAAAAAATCTTTTGAAAAATAGAATATACAGTATTATGTACTTTTACATGTTCTAACAATAGTCGATTTTATTTTTAAAATTTCGGAATTTTTCAAATTTAGCCTATAAACCTTTGCTTATATTCAAAATAATTAATACTTTGAAATTTTTCATATTTTTTTTTATGTTTGAGACTTTATAAATTTGACAATTTCTAATTATTTGTTATATATAAAACAACTAATTCCCTATTTCAATATTGCTAAGTAATATATGCGACTATATAAAATTTATTGTCATACAACTAGCTGGAAATATGACATTATAGAAAGAAGTGTAGACATATAACTTTACCATATAATAATACGTAGAATAATAATTTACATCGCACTTGTGTAATAGCATTTTTTTTAATTAATACAAAAAATCACAGGACAAGCTTATCGTTATTTTGTAAACTAGAAAATTAAACATGTCTAGAAATCCTCGTACTGGAACACGTAATCATTTACAATAGTAATAAAACTTAGTACTGTACATCATCAATATGCGATACAGAATCGAATCTACCGTTGCTATCTAATCTTTCGCTTCTGGTAGAAACGGTTGTAAAATTACGTTCCTTAGGTCACCGAGTAATTCTAATTACAAGCGGAGCTATAGGAGTAGGATTGAGACGATTAAATATGGATAAAAAACCGAAGAAATTGAAAGAAATTCAAGTAAAATTTATGAATTTATTAATATGATACAAGTTGAATAATTCGTTCTATTAATTGGATCTAAAAAGGCTGTAATGGCAGTTGGTCAAGTAAGATTGATGAGAATGTATGATAGTCAATTGAATCAACTAGGCATGACCTAGCAGATGTATTTACAACTTTTTTTTTTTAATATAATCTCGCTTTTCCGGGATGATATTGGAATTTTCTTTAATAAGATAGTTATGACTATTTAATAGCGTACGCAATATCTTAATGCGGTTAATACTTTCTCAGAATTATTAACCATGGGTGTAGTTCCCGTTGTTAATGAAAATGATACTATTTCCGTGAGTGTATAAGCACCCTATACTGTAAGTATAATCGTATTTTTTTGGGGGGGTTTTTTTTTTTTGCTAAGTAAACCTACTTTCTGCTTTTAAGTAAAGTTATTCTCCAGGTCAAGATGATTCTAATGGTGATAAAATCATCAAATTCGGTCCAATAAAACTTTGGCAATCATACTTCAAAGTTCGAATGACGTTTGCTTACCGATCTTCAGATCATATAAACATACTGTATGTAAACAAACGTCGCCCGAGCAATTGCGAAAGTTCCATTAGACCGATTTTGATGATTTTACCACCATTAGAATCAGCTTAACCTGGAAAATAACTTTACTTAGAAGCAGAAAGTAGGTTTACTTAGTACAGAAATCCTATATTATTAAAATTTTTAATTTTCAAGCACCTGTTATAATGAAAAAGCCGTACGATAGTTGTTAAAGTGGACTTCGTCGATAGAACATTATGCATATATACACGTAATTATTTAACAATCGAACTGAGGCTTATTTATTTCGGCTTAAACTGCAGCTAACTGGTTAATTATCATCCCTAATCAAATTTATACGTATGTTACTAATAAATAATCAGTCGATGACGTGTTCTTAGTTATAGCAGATAGGTACATAACAACGATAGCGTTTAAAAATCGTATATTAAATAAACAAGTAAATCAATATATACTGAATTTTAAAAGATGGCTAATACACTAATTATTGAATAGATGATTTCTATTTCAAATATCAGGGCAAATTTTAATTGAATTAATGCATTAGAAATATGTATAAATTGAAAAAAAGTTCCCTAGCATATGAAATGCAGTTGTTTTATATGTTGCGGAATACGGTATCACGATTGAAGAAATTCTGTATTAGGTTCATATATTTAAACTCTAACAAAAACGAAATACAAAAGCCAACCCAACTAATAAAAAAGATAACTTCCATAATATTACCACGTTATAAAAAAATAAATGTGTGTGTGCATTATATTATGTTCTTAGTCCTTTTCTGCTTCCTTAATAGGATCTTCCTTAACAGGATCCTCCTCTTGAACAGCCTCATTAATAGATTCTTCCTTTAGTTCACTCGTCTTAGTAATATCATTAGTATTTTCCAATTCAGGATAGTCTTCATCATCCTCATCCTCATCCTTAAGATATAATTTATGTCAATATCATACACGGTCATTAAACGAATTAAAGATATTAAAGACATTATTAAACTTACATCAAATCCAGCACCACCACCACTAGCACCACCAGGACCCATCAAATTAGAAAAATCCATTCCACCTAAAGGATCTTGTGCACCACCTTCATCGTCATCATCATCTTCATCCTTCCATTTTGCAAAGTCAGTCTTGAGAAAGATGACTCTACCAGGGCTCTTTTGTAAACGTGGCCAATATTTTTGACCATGTTCAGCCTTATCAAGCACAAGAATAATACTACGTGCAGTCTGCGAGCGTTTTGAAGCCTAAGCATAAAAAATAAAAATAATATAAATATGACCAGTTGATTACTGTATTTATAATTTAATCATATTTCATATTTCACATGATAAGTGTTGAAATTTTAACTTTGATTTCATGTTCTCAGATGAACATACTTCATTGATTTCGGTTTTTTATTGTTCACCATATTAAGAAAATTATAGCACGTGTTTTCGAATTCCAAAAAACGAACATAACCCTTTAACACTGCTTAATTAAATTTATCCTATAAAATAATTCCATACGTACGTATCTTATAAAATAATGACATGATTAAGACCTGGTATTGTTCATCATCCTTACCAACCAAAAAATTTTGAATAATACCTGGTGAGTATAACTATATTAATTTATTAATATTCATAATAATATATCTATTTAAAGTACCCCCTAGGTATTAATAAATTTAAAAAAGAATGGAGATTTTGAACAAAATCCCGATACTAATAAGCAGTGCTAAATGGTAAATGCTCTTAAATAAATATCCATTCATTCGAATCTTTTAAAGAACATTAAAGATTAAACTTTCAACACTGATCGTGATATCTCATTAATTATTTTTGTCAAATTTTTTTTTTTTTAAATCTTTACCTCTGGATTAACTTCTTTGTATAATTCTAATTCAAATTCGTACATTTTTTGCTCTGTTCCTCCAATTCCCTGGAAAGAAATTTTATCTTTGGTCACGTCAATTTTTGGATCTTTGACATCGGTTAAATTTATGGTAATATAAACTTCATTTTGACGTTGTGCCCAAAGTACTTCGGGGTGGAAACTATTTTAAAATAAATTGAAAAACCTAAGATACCATAATTCAAGTGTATACCGTGTCATAACAGTTAAAAAAAATACTGAGAGATGTAAAAAGAGAAACCTCCTTACCTAGACATTATTGATATTTAATAATAATAGAACAGCTTGTATTGGAACAAATATAAAAAGCGTTCTAATTATTTTATATTTGAATCAGTTGCGCAAAGACATCGATAAACTCCGTTTATCAGATCTTTTTTTCTTTAAGATGACGTCAATTTCGCGAATGTTCTGGTGCAATTGACGTTTTAAGTTGCATGTGATTAAGAATTCGATTGGCTAAAATTATACATATAAGTTATACTCTAAAAACCGTATGATTTATAAAATTTTCTGGTACTGTCTGTATACTATAAGTTGCCAACTAAACTAATGCTTGTCTTAATTCTGGTCAATTTGATAACATTTCAATATAACTTGCTGGTAAGTTACCACTAAAAAACCCCTACTGCTACGGTTGTATTAAACGGTTAAACGATTCTAATCAAATATAACTTCCATTATGTCGTATAAGTCCCGTTCTAAAATGAATATTTTAGACGAGCACAGTAACTAGTCCTTGAGATGCAAACGGTTTGAGCCGAGCCGAATCAACGGTTAAGTCGAACTAATTAACGGCTCGATTCAAGATAGGTCTTTATTACATGACCATTACGTAACTTAGATCTCCCCTCGAGACTAAAGATGTTCTCAATCAATGGAATTGTCCGCACATGATCATCATCTCTAGCCTGAAAATGCTTCTCTTGATTGATTGATTAAAATGATATCGATATGTATTAAACCATTTATTAGACTTGATTGTATCGTACAACCACATTAATGATCGGATCAGAGGTCAAGCGGAACTCGGAATCACATGTGCGGAAAATTTCTGTCTTTCCAATGGGTCTGATGTAAAATTTTAATTAGTCGGAATTCGAATAAACTATCAAGAGAGTTATCATTTCGATAAGTGCAGACTAGAAATGTACCCCACGCGAGGTCAAACTAGCATATATTCACAACCTCACGCAAAGTTACATTGCGCGATTTTATGTGAGTAATTTAATATTATTTAATTAATTAAAACAACTATTAAATTGATAGATCATTGATTATTAATTAAAAATTATCTTAATCGAATAATTTTACTTCACGCAAGGTTGACATCATACTTGCGCAAGGTGCATGAAGTTGCTGGTGTTAGAATTTTTATTGCGCGAGGGTACATCTCTAGTGCAGATCATCTTTTTTATGGTTATTCTGATTGGCTAAAATTTAAATCTGACAATTCGCACAATGATACGTAATAACCACTTCAATGATTGAGCAACACCTCGCGATCACTTTCAAATTACATTGAGGGAGTTGCTTGAGAATTTCTTTAATATCCGCATTTCGCGCCATGAATCTTAAGCCAAGTTGCTATAAGGATTATTTGTAATGCTTGTTCACTATTTCGATCACTATTCAATCAAATTGAGGTATTTGCTTGAGAACACCTTAAACCACCCTTACTGAATCTTCTCTAACGACAATTTTCACATTTGTGATAAGTGTTACACCAATTTATAAACTGATATCAATTTTATATGACCATTGGCCGACCGGATTAAGTTATCGACGTCAGCTGAAATCAATAAACCTATCTATCGATTGACCGAATGATCTAATATTAATTTTTTTGTTGTCAGAATTTATGAAAACAGCTAATCAGTAAAATATCATAAAATATCTGCTTTATGGTTTGTGAATAAAATAAGATAATTGATTTATCATACAAATTTTGTTAAAATATCAGTTTAATTAGCAAATTTTTAAATAAACTAATCAATAATATATTAGCTTATAATTTATCTAATCTTAGTATATCTTTAAATTTACTAACAGTATATTGTTATAAAATCTTATAATAATCTTATACCTAATATTTAAGTATTTTAATCTAGTTATAAATTGATATTTAACATATTTTGTTAAAATCTTTAGCCTATTGGCCTGTTATTATCATTAAAAAAAATCTGATTATAGTCTTCATCATATCAGTCTGCTATCACTCTATCTGATTATGTATAGATATTTAGATAATATTTTTAATTTTAACTAGTATTTCTAGTAGACTCCTCTATACTATTTGGTATCTAAGTTAAAAAGAAAGATGTTTCTAGTAATATAACATTTTGGTGAAGAAAACTTATTATAAAAATTTGGAATATAAAATTTGCAACATACTCTCTAAATTATAAAGAATTAACTCTTAATTCTCTTTTGAATTCAACTTTACTTGATACTTTTTTGCTACACAAAAAGTAAAGATTTGGCTTACTCCTTCAAAAGATTAATATTTGTACTATTTTTATTTTGAGAATAATCATGTTGACTTACTAAATAACAATAATATGTATATTTTAGCTAAATAGCAAGTTATACTTAAATATGTGTTTAGATTAAAGATGCAAAGCTAGAGTATATGTTTAATAACAACAAATTGAATTTAACTGAAAATTGTTTTTTATTAGAGATATATTTTAGTAACTATTTCTATACAATCTCTAGTTATAGATATACAATCTTTATACTGTATTTTGGAAGCAGAATACTATATTTTTGTTTCCTTCTTTTTCTTTTTACTATACTATAAAGTGTTTTTTACATGTTGCATATTTTTTCTTTATAGTTTTATTATATAACATATAGTCTTAGTATCTATCGTTATATATAAATTTTATTTTTTTTATACTTTTTTGCTATAAAAAAACTATTATCAGTTTGATAATAGTCTATTGTATAAACAAGAGTCATGATAAACTATAGTGTCTGCTCAAATTATTAATATTTTTTTAAAATATTAAATATTAATAAAGAGAGAAAAGATTATTATAGCAGATTATACATAGGTATCCATAGGGTAACTAGATGAGTTAATACTTAAAAAATTATAAATTAGATATATAGAGTACAGATTATTTTGTAACTATATATTTTAATTAGTCTTTTTTTAAAGACATTATACAAATAAAGTATTGGCATAATCTGCTGAAAAATAAAAAAAAAATAAAAATATAGAATACTACTAAATATTAATATAACCTATAAAGTTATTATATATATATATATAACTTTTTTTGATAATTTCTTATACTAATATTTTCATAAAATATTTTTTTTTTTTTTAGCAATCATACTAATACTTTATTTAATCAATAATTTTAATCTATGACTAAAACATTTCTATCTAGTATATATTACTATCTAGTGACT